GTACGTCCCACATAGAAACCCGATCTCCAGCCCGAAGCCGAAACGCGCAAGCACTGCTGTATCCGGCCTCCTGCATGCTGAGGCCTAGGTTCCTGAGTAGTACCCTTTTGCCCTTTCTGTCGTATTGTTCCCTTATTAAACCTGAATAAGAGAAAAAGGGTACCCTTATTATTAAAGGGTCACTCAGGAACCTAGAAGCAGGAACAGCAAAATCCCACAACACAAGCGGGTTCAAGGGTTTAGGGTTTTTTTAAGGGTTTAGGGTTTAGGGTGTACATGGATTTTTTGCTTAGGGTTTAAGTTTTTGTTTAAGGGTTTAGGGTTTAGGGTGTACATAGCTGTTTTGCGCAACCACACACCTTGCACCGACACGCAACAACAGCCCCCAAGGACGCCTTCTGCAAAATGCAAGCCCAAACCTCTAATCCCCAAAGCCGTAAGCCCTCAGACAGCATCTTTGGTCATGTTGTGCTTGTCACCGCAGAAAACCTACATGTGTAGGGTTGCGATGCGATTTCTTACATTTCCCTGAAAAGGCGGCAAGCAAACCGTCCTCTCCCCGAAAGAGCACCCTAGCCCCTGCGCTCTAAGCCCTTGAGCCCCCAAACAACTCTGAGAGCCTACAATAAGCTCTATGTAGAGCTCTTACAGCAACCCAAAACCTGAAACCCTAACCCCTAAACCCCAGACCCTACTGTAAACCCTATAGGGTCTATAGGGTTTAGGGTTTTAGGGTTTAGGGTTTAGGGTGCAGGGTTTAGGGTTAAACATCTTGCTTGGCGCCTGACAGGATCACCTCGCCAGTAGCTCACTGCTGCAGCTGGCGAGCGTGCACCCAAATGGCAACAGCACTGCAGTGAGTCCCGGCTGCATTGGGCTTAGACTTCCGGTTTAGGATTTATAAGGTTCAAGCATGTAGGGGTTGGAATTTTTACCCGCAGTCCAATAGTATTTCTTAGCGTTCCTTACTGTGGTTGTAGTATTTTGTGCCCAAAACCCTGTTCTACTTGTGAAGGCCCTTTTAGTCGGCTCTGAACGTTCGATTCAGGGTTCCTTCAAGGGTTTTACATTGTTTTCTACCGGTGTATAAGGTTCTTCGAGGGCTCAAGTCTTTGCGAGGGGTTGGCTTTCAAAAGAAGCGCCTTGACACTCCGAGTAGAGGTTTGGAGCATATTCTTTTAGGTTTTAGGGATCAGGGTTTAGGGTGTAGGGTTTAGTGTTTAGGGTTTAGGGTTCAGAAAGCTATGGAGGAAGTGTCATACGGGAGGGAACTATACCACCCTAACCCTCAATCCTAAACCCGGACCCCGAGACCTCTCTATTTTGGGGTCTGGGTTTAAGGCCTTGGGGGCGAGGGGTTTCGGGGGTTTAGGGGTTGAAGGACTAGAGATGAGGGTTTAGGGATTGAAGCGGTCCACATCTACTCCCGTGCCGTCAGCGCTGCAAGCCCTCAACGCTTGCGGAAAACCGAAACCCTAAACCCTACAACCGAAACCCTAAAACCGAAACCTGAAACACGGAACTCTAAACCCTAAACCGTCTCAGCTCAAGAGTCTTAACACCTTCGACCCACGACCTTCAGCCAGGAAACTGCAACCCTTCAGAAGCACACAGCCCCACCGCCCCCCAGCAGACACGCATATATATATATATATACACACACACACACACACTTCCGCAAGAAAGCAACTGAAGCAAAGCAAGAAACAACCTCTCTCTCTCTATATAATATATATATATATACATACATACATGAGTAGTAGACAAAAAGGCAAGTTAAGATCATCCAATATTGTGTGTGTGTGTGTGTGTTCGTGTATGTCTTGTCTTGTCTCCGCGTGTGATTATTGGTTTGCTTGTTTATTCGGCAAGAGGCAAAGCAACCATCTGACAGAACATTGACTCAAAGCCCCGTAGACCCAAGCCCAACGCCCTAAAATTCTGAGCCCCAAACCCCAAGCCCCAAGCCTTAAAGCTGGTTCCAAGTCCTCGGAGATGCGGGCACCGAGGAATCGACGGGTGACCA